ATAAATATATAAATATAAATATATATATATATATATAGGATATATATGATATATAAATATAATATATATATAAAATATATATATAAATATATATCTCTAAATATAATAAAAAATAAAATAATATATATAGTAGGTATAGTAGGTAAACAGCAACCACCCAGGGAGGTACTACCGCCTGCCAAGTGAGTGTAAAACGAAAGCCTGTAATTGATTTACATGATGGTTAGATCCTGAATGTCCTTTTCCTGTCTCATAAATATGCATGATTACAGCATTCTTGCTACTTCTACTTACACTTAGGCACACTACACATCCACTGTACACATTTATTTAATAACACACTCTTCTGAGTTTTCCTTTGATTTTATCTTAATAGTTCATGGTCTTAATTAATGTTCCTTTTATATCCATGGGGAAGTGAATAAGACCTTCCACCGTAAGCCCTCCGTGTTGTAAAAGTCAACTAAAATGCCGGGAAACATGGGCTAGTATCCCCTTCCTGTAAAGAATACTAAAAAGAATAAAGAAATGAAAATTGTCATAGTGGGAAGTCTGAATGTGCGTGGATGGTTGTGCAGATGATAAAAAGAGATATTGTGGATGTTATGAATGAGAAGACAGCTGGATGTCCCTGGCTTTAAGTGAAACAAAAGCTGAAGGGAGGGAGAGTTTCAGTGGAGAGGAATAAATGGGAGTTAGGTCAGGGGTTTCAAATAGAGGGTTAGAGCTAAAGAAGAGTAGCAATAATTGAAGATAAGCTATGGCAGAAAAGAGGGACTTAAATTATATAATTCAAGGATTATTGTGGAGTAAAATAAAGATTGGAGGAAAAGTGGGGTTATAAATGCGAGAATGCAACCTGGAGAAGAGCGAAGTGTAGATAGAGAGAGAGATTTTGGAAATGTTTGAGTGAATGCGTGGGAGTTTTGAATCAAGTGGTGAGAGAGTAATGAGGTTGGGGATTTCAATGCAAAAGGTGGGTAAAAAATGTTATGAGGGAGTAGTAGGTAAAATTTGGGTGCCAGGGTAAATGTTAAATGGGGAAGCCTTTAATTGAGCTATGTGTAGAAAGAAATTTGTAATAAGTAATACATATTATGAAAAAGAGGATAAATAAAATACAAGGGTAAGATTGTAGCACGTAATGAAAGTATTTATTGGATTATGTAATGGTTATACAAGGTTGATGGTAGGCTCCAGATGTACATGTTTATAGAGGGGCACTGATATATCGATCATTATTTTAGTTGTAGCTACATTAGAGTAAGAGGTATATGGAAAAGAGGCAGGAGGGCAACAACCAGTAAGAGGGAGTGAAAGTGATAACAAGGAGGAGGAATTCGGAGAGATATAAGCGACAATTGGCAGGAAAGGTGGGCAAGTGCAAAGATGAATAGGTGGGGGGGTTTGAAGAGGTGGAATAGGTTTTAAAAATGCAGTATTAGAAGTGGGCAAGTTTTGTGGAAAGAGAGGTGGGTGCAGGAGGAAAGAGGGAGTGATTGGGGGAAAGAAAGAGTCAAGGTTGTGATTAAAAGAGACAAAGGTAGCATATGAGAGTTTTTTAAACAAAGCAGCAAGAAGTGTTTATAAGAAATCCGAGTATATGGAGAGTAAAAGAAAGTAAAAAGAGTGGTGAGAGAGTGCAAAAGGAGAGCAGATGATGCGAGTGGGAGATCACAGTCAAGAAATTTTAAATGAAAAAATAAGAAAAAATATTGTAGAGAGTTAAAACACGTTAAGAAAGCCAAGGGAAAATATGGATTTGTCAGTTAAAAACAGAGTAGGGAGTAGTAGATGGTGAGATTGAGGTATATTGGGTAATGTCGAGAATAGTGAAGGGAACTTATAATTGTTAAGGAACGAAACAAGAGGCATAATTTCATGCACTTGCTCAGGGAGGTATACCATCCTTTAGGAGTGAGAAGAGCAGAAACTAATGTGGGGGAGTACGAGAGGCATAACGTCAAATGAAAGGGGGTAAAGCAGCTGGAACTGATGGTATCATGACAACATGTTAAAAGCAGGGGGGGATATAGTGTTGGAGTGGTTGGTACTATTGTTAATAAATGATATTGAAAAGAGGGAAGGTACCTAGGGATTGGCGGAGAGCATGGTATAGGTCCCTTAATATAAAGGGAAATGGGACAAAAGAGACTGTAAAAATTATAGAGGAATAAGCTTACTGATATTACCAGGAAAAGTGAACGGTAGGGTTATAATTAAAGAATTAGAGGTAAGACAGATATTGGTAGGATTGCGGATGAGCAAGAGGTTTCCCGAGTGGGTAGGGATGTGTAGAATCAGGAGTTTTACATTGAAGCATATATTGTGAACAGTATTTAGATAAAGATAGGTAAGTTTTTATATTGCATTTATGGATTTAGAAAAGGCATAATTGATGGAGTGGATAGAGGAGCAATGTGGCAGATTGTTGCAGTATATGGAATAGGAGGAAAGTTATTAAAGCTGTAAAGAGATTTTATGAGATAGCGAGGCTCATGTTAGGGTGTGAAGAAGAGGAGGGAGACTACATCCCGTAAAAGTAGTTCTTAGACAGGGAAGGTGTAATGACCAATGGTTGTTTATATATTTATAGATAGGGTTGTAAAGGAAGTAAATGCTAGGGTGGGTTTCGGGAGATGGGTGGGATTTAAATTTTGGGGAATCAAATTCAAAATGGGAATTGACACAGTTACTTGTTTGCTGAAGATACAGTGCTTTATGGAGATTCTAAAGAAAAATTGCAAAGGTTAGTGGATGAGTTTGGGAATGTGTGTAAAGGTAGAAAGTTGAAAGTGAACATAGAAAAGAGTAAGGTGATGAGGGTGTCAAATGATTTAGATAAAGAAAAATTGGATATAAAATTTGGGGGAGGAGGAGTATGGAAGAAGTGAATGTTTTCAGATAGTTGGGAGTTGACGTGTCAGCGGATGGATTTATGAAGGATGAGGTTAATCATAGAATTGATGAGGGAAAAAAGGTGAGTGGTGCATTGAGGTATATGTGGAGTCAAAAAACGTTATCTATGGAGGCAAAGAAGGGAATGTATGAAAGTATAGTAGTACCAATATCTTATATGCGTGTGAAGCTTGGGTGGTAAATGCAGCAGCGAGGAGACGGTTGGAGGCAGTGGAGATGTCCTGTTTAAGGGCAATGTGTGGTGTAAATATTATGCAGAAAATTCGGAGTGTGGAAATTAGGAGAAGGTGTGGAGTTAATAAAAATATTAGTCAGAGGGCAGAAGAGGGGTTGTTGAGGTGGTTTGGTCATTTAGAGAGAATGGATCAAAGTAGAATGACATGGAAAGCATATAAATCTATAGGGGAAGGAAGGCGGGGTAGGGGGCGTCCTCGAAAGGGTTGAGAGGGGGGGGTAAAGGAGGTTTTGTGGGGAAGGGGCTTGGACTTCCAGCAAGCGTGCGTGAGCGTGTTAGATAGGAGTGAATGGAGACGAATGGTACTTGGGACCTGACGATCTGTTGGAGTGTGAGCAGGGTAATATTTAGTGAAGGGATTCAGGGAAACCGGTTATTTTCATATTTGTCGGACTTGAGTCCTGGAAATGGGAAGTACAATGCCTGCACTTTAAAGGAGGGGTTTGGGATATTGGCAGTTTGGAGGGATATGTTGTGTATCTTTATATGTGTATGCTTCTAGAATGTTGTATTCTGAGCACCTCTGCAAAAACAGTGTTAATGTGCGAGTGTGGTGAAAGTGTTGAATGATGATGAAAGTATTTTCTTTTTGGGGATTTTCTTTCTTTTTGGGTCACCCTGCCTAGGTGGGAGACGGCCGACTTGTTAAAAAAAAAATTATACAGGATAACGGGTTACTAGCCCCTTGCTCCTGGCATTTTAGTCGCCTCTTACAACACGCACGGATTACGGAGGAAGAATTCTGTTCCACTTCCCCATGGAGATAAGAGGAAATAAACAACAACAAGAACTTGAAAGAAAATAGCAAAAAACCCAGAGGGGTGTGTGTGTATATATATATGCTTGTACATGTATGTGTAGTGTGACCTAAGTCTAAGTAGAAGTAGCAAGATGTACCTGAAATCTTGCATGTTTATAAACAGAAAAAAAGACACCAGGAATCTTACCAACATGAAAAACAATTATAGGCTTCTGTTTTACACTCACTTGGCAGGACTGTAGTACCCCTTTGGGCGGTTGTTGTCTACCAACCTACTACATGGAGCAATTCATAAATAATTATTGTAGCTGCATGTGTACCCTCTAAGTCTGTAGTGATTAAGTTTGTGAAGAAGAATACTGCAGTTAGATTTTTTATTTGTGTAAGGATTTTGATGTAGTTGGTCAACTACATCAAAATCCTTACACAAATAAAAAATCTAACTTATGAATGCCCAAGTTACAATGATTAGCACTTTCAACCAAATTGCTTTATAAAGGTTTATTGTAATTACAAAATACATGGCACAGTAATTATCCTTTGTACAGGAGGGCCCTGCTTATATAACAGGTTAGGTTCTGGGCTACTGCTTTAAAGTGAAAATCCTTGTAAAAGTGAAACAGCCTTTTTTTCACTTTCAAATGCATATAAAAGTCTGATAACTTGTTTACACTATCATATATTAGGTGAGGAAAAGAGCTAGGCCTAAAATATGCATATATAGTACACCCATTACTTAGCTTAAAATATTTTTTCCTTAGCTTATAGTGAGTTGTGAATATATTTAATAGGAAGTCTGAATAAATGAGGGCTGTATGACCCTTGTAGGTTTAGTGGTTCTTTTTGAGTATAATAATGAATAAATGAGGAATGGGTATAAATGAAAACCACTGCATTAGCGAAACACTGTAAAGTGGGTCCCACCTGTACCATTGTTTCCTAAATGATAATATGCTCAGGGTTACAAACAACTCTTTTTAAGTTGAATATGGAAAACACAGCACATATGTTAGTGCAGCATCCCCTGTAGCAAACTGGTTACAAACAGATCATTGCATCTCTCCCAGCCAAGGGCAGATAGCTTACCTGCACTGTGGGGCAGAGATGGGAATCTCTGTACAAGTGGTAAACCTGATGGAGATGTCCCTGGCTCCTCCTTTGCCCTGACCAGGAACTCCTGCCTTGGATGGAGTGCTGGGAAATTTAGGAAATGCGAATTATGCTAAGGCAAAAAAAAAAAAAAAAGTGAACAACATATGCAGTACTTGTAATGAAAATACACAAAGTGCTAGCCCTTTGTTTCTCAGTTGTTTCAATAACTGACATCAGTAACGACATAGAGAAACTTCAACATATGAGCAAGTCCACTTACATCCACTTCCCCTGTTCACCCAGCATTAAATTAGTAGTCTGCTGTGGGTCACATCCAAAAGAGGATCGAGGAACCTAACTGAAAATAACAAATTGCGCAGTAGTCTTGGTTATCATGCATTATTAACCCTTTAGGGTTAATGTACAAGGGAAATCTTCTATGAAGATTTAGAAGACTAAAATAATACAATGAGAGAACTTAAATCTCTAAGTTCTCTCAGGCACTTATAGAGTCCTCTGATACTCCTCACAATGTAAGCTTCCACAGCAATTTGGTTCATAATTAAGATATAAAAAGAAACAATGGTAAAAGGCAAATATCAATAATACATTACTGGTGATCCTTCACCATGTGTGTTGTAAATCCATAGTAATTTGGTTGAAAATATCGAGAAGGCAACTTTCTTGTAATTGTCATCAACTCTGGAGGTTAATATGCCAAGAAAACCCAACAAAAGGTAACCAATGACGTATTTTTCTACTCTTCCCAAGGTTTTTTCCTAGGATGCAATCCACAATTGCTGATTACTAGTTAATCTATTTTCTGCTAGGTAAACTGGGACAGTACGTTTAAGGACTCGCCCATACCTCTCATACTGCTGAGATTCATAAACAAATTCCTTCTAACTCAATAAATGATATTTAGTATGCAATTCGTTATCAGTGAGTGACAGTTCTAAAGAATCTGAAAAGAAAATATTAGAGAAAATCAAACCAGAATGTGAAAATAAGAGTTAACATACAATGAGAAATGTTTTGCCACGATCTCAAGTTACTGTGAAGAAACCCACGTGTCAACAAATAAATAATGCTGGATTAAAGAAGATACTACTACTCTAAAACCCAAGACCTTAAAATAGGAAGCTAGGGAAAACTGTAGTTTTCCTAACCCCCACACCTAGCTCCTTGGATAACTAGCTTAACCCTTTACCAGGCCTGGTAAAGGGTAATGGACTAATTTTTCAAAGGTTTTATTCAAATTTCCCCTCAAGCAGATTCCTTGATGCTGGTGAAGGACTTGTGATCTAAGGAACTGGACCTGAGATCTAACTTCTTGAATCCTCTTAATCCTGTTCATATCACCAAGTGACTCTTTATAAGAGCACTGTATATAATTCTGTAGTAGGAAAACAACTACCAGAACAATTATAACTCACAATGTTAATGTCATGAATGATCTACTTTTAATACAAGTGGAAAATACAGAAGATTTATCCCAGGTCTGCCAGGAAACTCACATCCTGATACTTTTTTTTTACATACCTGCAGCTTCTGCCACCTCCTCCACTGCTTGCTGATGTACCACATGTCGATAGACAGAACTAGCAATCCTGGTTTCCTCTTCCAATATTTTTAGCTCTTGTACAGGCACTGGTTCCTCCAAGTCCTCCTCTTCTTTAAAAATCTTTAGAGCTTCCCCCTCCATTTTTACCTGTATATGCAGTGAAAGATACAATCAAATTGAAATGAAAAATGGTTAATTTGATTATATTGTAAATGTATCTGGAAAATACAAAATTATGTGGCAAGTAATGACAATACAAGTTATTAAAAGTGACTCTTAGCACAACACTTTTATGTAAATATAGAGAAAAAGCATACAATAACTTTCATGATATTAATCATGCCATCCTATTTGTCTAAAACTTAAAACATCTGGAATAATACTATACAATTTTTTTTTATTAACACATCGGCCATTTCCCACTAAGGTAGGGTGGCCCAAAAAACAAAAACTTTCATCATTATTCACTCCATCACTGTCTTGCCAGAGGCATGCTTACACTACAATTATAAAACTGCAACATTAACACCCCTCCTTCAGAGTGCAGGCACAGTACAGTGGACCCCCGCATAATGATCACCTCCGAATGCGACCAATTATGTAAGTGTATTTATGTAAGTGCATTTGTACGTGTATGTTTGGGGGTCTGAAATGGACTAATCTACTTCACAATATTCCTTATGGGAATAAATTCGGTCAGTACTGGCACCTGAACATACTTATGGAGTGAAAAAATATCGTTAACCGGGGGTCCACTGTACTTCCCATCTCCAGGACTCAAGTCCAGCCTGCCAGTTTCCCTGAATCCCTAAATAAATATTACCTTGTTCACACTTCAACAGTACGTCAAGTCCTAAAAACTATTTGTCTCCATTCATTCCTATCTAACACACTCACACATTCTTCCTGGAAGTCCAAGCCCCTTGCACAAAAAAAAATTTACCCCCTCCCTCCAACTTTCCCCCTGCACAAAAAAACTTTACCCCTTACCTCCAACTTTTCCTAGGCCAACCCTTACCCCCGCCTTCCCTCCACTACAGATTTATACACTCTCAAAGTTATTTTATTTTGCTCCATCCTCTCTACATGTCCAAACCACCTCAACAACCCTTCTTCAGCCCTCTGGATAATAGTTTTGGTAATCCCACACCTTCTAATTTCCAAACTATGAATTCTCTGCATTATATTCACACCACACATTGCCCTCAAACACAACTTATCCACTGCCTCCAGCCTTCTCTTTGTTGCAACATTCACCACCCATGCTTTACACCCACATAAGAGCATCGGTATAACTATACTCTCATACGTTCCCCTCTATCATAACATATATTTGCAAAACATTGTATATACAGCATGAACAGTGGCTACTTGTTTCTGAAATCCTGTACAGTACATTCTTATGCTTTATCTCAAGCCCACCTTTCCAGAAAAACACATAATTTAGTCTGCTTGAAATGCCGCCGCATGATATGGCTTTCTTTGTACCTAACAAATTATAAAATGTAATCACACATTGTAACTTTTACAAAGAAATAAATTTTGTATTTGTATTTGTAGTGTATAAACACCCCCTCCCTAACATATCCCAACATCAGCTAAATGCGATTTTGAAACTTCATATCCACATTCTCAGTGTCACAAACCTATGTAATAACAGTATAATCTCATCCTTAATATCTGTAATCCTCTCAACCATTAAAACACTGATTGTGTCACCTTTATGTTAATATGCAAGATTCCTCATTATCTATAATCATAATCACACCTGTAATTCTTCAAACTTGAAAGAAGCTATATAACATGTACTAATAGGATATTAAATCCTCTTGTTTTCCCATTATAACTCATGCATTTACTTTTACATCAACTATGTGACTGTGTAAAACCACTCAACTGCCATTGCCTATTAATCTTAAGTCTGCCCAAATTGCTCTGCTATATTAAGGGGTTTTCTGCATGCACACCTAAATATCATTCACCTTTGTACAAACATTGTACCATGTTGATATAAAGTATCTTATCTTATAGAGCACCAGGGATAAAGGGGAAGCACTCAGGTATCCTCCATGGAAGGAAGGACAAGCAAAAATCCTTGGAACAAGGCCTCTTAACCAGCATCAAGGAGCCTCAAGAAAACAGAACCTATACAAAGGTGGATCATATTTCTGTTCACATGTAGTGAACTTTCCCCAAGTGAATCTAAAAATTTCAGTAACGTGCTCAAATACAAAATTGGGGAGAGGGTAGTACATAAGATTAAGGTGGAAGAGTGGCTGGTGCATTTAAGCAAAAGTGCCTGTTGGGCCTACTCCAGTGCTCCACTACCCAGGAATGGTGACATTAACATTTACTGGCAAGGGAGCAAGGAGCAAGGAACCTAATTACTGTTATCATCATACAGTGGTACCTCGGGATACAAACAGCTCAAAACTTGAACAAATTATGTAAGAGTATTTATGTAAGCGCTTTCATAAGTGTATTTTTGGGGGTCTGAAACAGATTAATCTAATTTACATTAATCCTTATGGGAACAAATTCGTTCAGTATCGGCAATCAAACAACCTTCTGGAACAAATTAAGTTCATATACCGAGGTACCACTGTATTACACACACAGTAACACCTTCACTTAACGGACCATAATTTAACGAATTTTAGATTTAACCCTTTCAGGGTCCGTCCCGTAGATCTACGGCTGGTCGGTGAGTGTCCAAACCGTAGATCTACGCCAAAATTCTAGCGCCGTCAAATTTAGTGCAAAAGCGCTCATAGGCCTACATATGAGAGAATGGGTCTGCGCCGTGGGTGTGCGCCGTAAACAAAAAATCTAGGCGCCTGCATAGCATTGTGGGAACGCCGGCTCAGTCACCCTTGTTCACCATGCCTCGTCGCAAGTCACTCTCACTCCCGGAAATTGGACTCTCCTCTTCCTGTCTGATAGTTCTGACACTGATGGAAGGTGGAAATGAAGACGATTCCCACGCTTTGATAAGTTAGTGACCGAAAATAATGACCAGGATATCGATAAAAGTGCAGAAAACCCCGACGATCCTCGACCTTCTACCCTGGGTTTGGGGACTCGTGACTCACCGTCGGGTGTTCCTAAACGTAAGAGAAAACTAATATTTTCCCGGGCCTGGCCCCCTGACTTCAGTAATACGATGATTCTGACGTGGATTGTGATTTATTGCGCTCGCGATCATTCGAGTAGTGATAGTGAGGAAACATATTCACCAGTGAAGCGTCGGTATGTTCCGCCGCCGCATGCGCTCGGGTAGTGTACCCTATGCTGTGCCCAGGGACGGAGTACATCCTGGAGTACATCCCGGAGTCATCCCGTGGCCCTACACCCGTTTTAGGTAGTGATAGTGAGGATGAGTGGCTACACTTGGCCATGGATGGGCCACGACATCAGTGGAAAGGTGTTAGTTGGGGCTGGTGGTGGGAGTGGCACCGCCATGCGTGACTCGCTGTGCCACGCGGAACCCACACTTTCTGACTCGGTCAGTTCAAGGACAAAGCGGAGCGTCACCCACCAGCCCGCCACAACCACCCGTACAACCAGCCTATGATGTCCAGTAAACCACCACAAACCGTACTGGGGTTGGCAGCAAAATCCCAATTTGTTCCCACCCTCACCACTTTGATGACTCGCAAAGTGGAATTCTACCTAACCCGTCCCCTTGGAACCACGGCCAATGAACTGGAATTCTTTAAATTATTCTTTGACCAGCCATTGTTTGGGAAATTTTGTCAGGGAAAGTAATAAGTTTTTTTCAGTACACCATGGCAAATACGATTTATCACCACGGGTAAAGGACTAACGGTGGAAAGAGACGACTGTTGCGGGAAATGTATTTGTTTTTGCAACAAAAATTTGCTTATGCCTCACGTCTTAAGCAATTAAAAAGCAAAATTTGGTCCACAGATCGGCTAATTTGTACCCCAAATCCTTCAGTGAAAAATAATACCAGTGAAACATTTTTAAATTTACTGTTAGAATTTTTGCCATTTTTCTGAAAAAACCGGCCTGACGAAGTGACGGGTTTAAAACAAGATTAAAAAATGTTTTTCATTTTTACCCTTCAAACAAAAGTTCGGGGATATACTTTTTTTCCATTCAAAATCTTGTAATTGACGATTCTTTGATTTTGTTAAAAGGGTTTTAGATTTTTCTTTCAACAGAAATTCCCGGCAAGGGGAACCGTTTTGGGTTAAAAAAATTTTTTGGGTACTCTTTTGTTTGGGTGCAGGGGCCGGGGGTTTTTTGGTATTTTTTGTATACACGGGTAGTAAAATTTTTGAAATGAAAAACCCCAAGGGTTTTTTATTGGGTATATCAGGTGAGTAGCGAAAAAACATGATGGCACCTTTTATTTGGAAAGGGGCCATACATTATATACCGAAAACTGGACACAAGCCTTTACTCAGTGTTTTCATCCCCGAGTGAACAAGCAGTTGTGTTTTGGCACAGGGGTTTCAAATCGTAAACAAAACCCCCCCCAAGGCCCTAAAACAGGTTTTTCGTGGGGGATGACTTTGCAGGTTTTTTACTCCCCAAGGGACACCCTTTGGCTTAAACGGTGGCAACAAACAATGTCACATCTTTTGACAACCATTCACCTTTAATAAAAAATGCAAGACAGTGGCAAATTTTGATCGAGTGACCAATAAAACGTATTCGAAAACCGTGCCCAGTGATTGATTATACACAAAACATGCGTTTGGGGTTGAAAAGTTGTGACATGCAGATTGGTTTTGTTACTGTGTTGGGAAGGGTTTTCAAGTGGTACAGAAACTTTTCTTCCCCATCTCATGGACATTTCAATGCTTTAATGCATTTAAATAGTACCAAATAAAGACTGGTAACAGACCACCGTATGGTTGGGGTTTTTTTTTGTCTGTTTTCAGACAAATCATAAAAAAGTAAAAAAAAAAAAAACCCGGCAACAAAACCTGCTATACAACATGGTCCCCCCGAATTTATCCAAAATACCCAAACGTTTTTTAGGAAAGAAGGTGATCATTTAAAAATACAGCTTCCTTCAAAATCAAAAGAAATTTGCTCAGAAGAGATGCATTGGGCCTGTGCACAAACAAAACGAAGGGGAAAAAAAGAGCAAAAGGGCCCCTCGGGTTTTTGGT